AAAGTCATGGTAGGCGAGATTGGGGGAAGCCACTCTGGGGATAGACGGCAGCTCACGGGCCTAGAGGAGACTGTAGGATGCCCTCTACCAGCTGCATGAGACCGGATGTTCGAGGCCTGGTGGGTACACAGTGTTAACCATCTAAGCCTGGGCATAGGGGGAGGAGGTGGCAGGAAGGGGAGGGAGGAGGGTCGCGATGCTGAGAGAGAAAGAAGATAGATGCACACAAACCCATACAATGGTCTGCAATGGTGGAGGGGGGGGGTAGGTTGAAGTAAGCTTCTCAGTCTATAGAGTCTTATCATGAGGGCCCTCTTTGGGTGGAGTGGAGTGGTCCGTCGTTGAAGATTCCTCTCGGAGTCCATCAGGTGCAGAGTGGGGTTCAGGCGGTCCCCTCTGGGTCCAGTCTGGTGCTGATTGGTCTGGCGGGGTCGGTGTACTGGTGGTGGCTTGTGATGTGCTCAACGTAGATGTCGCAGGACCAACGGATGGTGTCAGACACCATGAGGCAGTGCATCAACTTGGCGTAGTGGCAGGAGATGCAGCAAGCACGCAGGATGCTTTCGTTGCTGGGGTCCCAGGCTCCAAGCATTACCACGATAAGTGCATCAACTGTCATGTCTTAGCTGTGGCCCCTCAGGATGTCGGCCAGTGGAGTGTACTTCTGCTTGTGATCCCGGGTGTTGGTGAAGTCTTGGAGCTGGTTCTCGCATCTTGTACCTGTACAAGTATGCTTTAACTTGCATCTTACCAAGCTAAACTGACTTTATTAAGTGGACAATTATTTTTAAAGGTACTGCTTTATCTCCTATTTTCCTTCTGGTCCACAGCTGTGGAGAGGTCAGGAAAGCCTTTGAGTATGAACGCACACTTCATGCTTTACAGTTCTGTCTGTACTGGCCGGTTATTGACTTAATTTATTCCATAATTATGGTAAAAAAATTGAGCAGTGCTTAAAATTCTTGGGATTTAGTCAGATGAAACTATTCATGTTATATAGTAATATATCTAAGGTATGTCTCTGTACTTGTACACAGTTTGAGACAACAGTTTGTTGTCTCACAAAATAGCAGGTCCCATTTTAGAGCAGTTGAATAAAACAAATTGGAATTAAAAAAAAAATGTTTAAAAAAAAATAATATTTTACCTAGATGTTCTCTTCCCCATCTATTGGACTCATGCTCAGTTGACTTTTCCTCACTAACTGACTCTTCTGCAGCATAGAGCCAGGGGTCCTGCAAGGGCGCTACCCTACACAGAAACTTGTTTAATGATTGGTATTTTATTTGGTGATACACTTGACCTAGCCAAGTCACTCTTTCATCTCAATACTGGCTCAGTATGAACCCAATCCTAGCACATAATTTTTCAACCATTATTGCATGGTAGATAAAGCATTGTTAAAAAGAGGAATAGAAATTGGGTCAAATCTGTTTTCAGAGGCACCAGTATAAATCTGTGTTAGTCTCAATGAGACTGGTGGGATTACTCCCAGGTTTGAACTAGTTCAGCAAGGATAAATGGTATTTTTGACTATTTTTATAGCCTTGGTTGTTCAAAGAAAAAATGTACTCTTAATTGCACACTGGCTTATCACATGTTTTGCTTTACTCTGCAACAGGAACTAGAAAAAGAGAGAACAGGTCTTATGGAAGACGTGACTGCCAACAAGAGGAAGATGAAGGAGCTGGAAGATAATCTGCTGTACAGATTGACCAGCACACAGGGTTCTCTGGTAGAAGATGAGAATTTGATTATAGTATTGAGTAACACTAAGAAGACTGCTGAGGAGGTTACACACAAACTGCAGATTTCTGCTGAGACAGAAATCCAGATCAACTCAGCCCGTGAGGAGTACAGACCTGGTGAGCTATGATTCTGGATCATAATGAAAGATGCATGTTGTAAACGTTTAAGGAAAGGAGCCATGATGGAACTGGAGAAATGAAGATGGGGGGGATTACAAAGGCAAAAGGATTATGTAAGGAGCAGGAAATTGCTTATGCAAGCCTTATTTGGTTCTGCTTGCTTTTATTTTGGGTTGATATACTTTTCTCAAGGAAGAAAATGTCCCTTCTGGATTGAAATGTCTCAGTTGCAAGTCAGCTGACATTTCCCTGCATTTTGAGAGGTGAAGGAAACCTTACTTTTTACAACAATAATTCAGCAGAATGACAAATACCCAGCTGCTTATGGGTTCTTGATTTAGGCTACAATGTATAGGTTACTATGATTTAAGTTACAATGTAGTGCATACAGTTCTTGTATATCTGTAATAACTGGACACTGAAGACCTTCATCTGAAAGCTAGAATGGCACTTAAATACAGTGTACAATATTTTCTACATGTAAGTGATGATTTGAGCAGTTAGATGCAACACTTAGTTGCCCACAGAAGGTAACCATATTGCAGTAAGGGCTTTGCATTACATTTCTTATTTGTAGAAAACGTTCTTCTGCTAATGGATAAATGCGAAGAAAATTACAGTCATAAATCTGATTTAAAATGAATGATACTGCTATTAAAAGTTCTTTCCAATCTCAATATTAACATTGTTGTATGCCTTGTGCTTAATTTAGTTATAGGTTTTTTTCCCTTTTTGCATGCTCTGCTTTGAGTACAGCCTTCTTTCTCTTACTCTTTCAGTTGCAACAAGAGGAAGCATCCTGTATTTCCTTATAACAGAGATGAGCATGGTCAATGTCATGTATCAGACTTCACTTCGGCAATTTTTGGGGCTCTTTGACCGTTCCCTAGTTAGGTAACAAAATCTGAAAGATCAGCTGAAACTTTATCCTTTTTCTCTTCCTCCATATAAAGGTTTCTTTAAAATTGATTCTACAAGTGAGGCCTTTCCATTTAGATGCTTTATTTGAAAAGTGAAATGTAAACTTGAATAGACTTTTATTTCTTTGTTAGCACAGTGAGGTAAAAAGCTGTCCAAAATACTAATATTCTTCTAGTCTCGTCTTCTCCTGAGTGATATTTTTAGTGCATTACTGTTGGGTTCTTCTCTGCAGAGCAAAGTGACCTAGACTGAGGTGAAACCACTCATGTATTGACTTTATTTCTTTGCCTGCTTTTTTCCTACTGATATATCTACCTTGATTTATTCAGAATAGTAAACTAGAGTTTTCTGTGAGTCCTCCTTTAATTCTTTCTATAGTAGTTGACCTCCTCTTTCTTTTTTATCAGGTCTGTCAGGAGCCCCATAACAAGCAAGAGAATTGTTAACATCATTGAACATATGACCTATGAAGTGTATAAATATGCCGCCCGAGGACTTTATGAGGAGCACAAGTTTCTATTCACCCTACTACTTACCTTGAAGATAGACATACAGAGAAACAGGGTGAAGCATGAAGAGTTCTTGACACTTATTAAAGGTCAGAACAAGTGCACTATTAGAGACTGGGCAAGAACCTTACTGTGTAAAATTTGAGTCGTTCTTCTTTGGTTATGTATCTTTCCCAGGTCTGACAGTTGTTTCTGCATCTGAAAATCATCTGGATTAAAGAACCTTCAACAAACTTTCACTTTTTTTAAGACAATATATTTTGTGTTTTGATTTAGGGCAACAAGGATTTGAAATCCAAAATATGATAATTTAGATATTTGAAGAGTGAGGAGGCTCTTGCCTCTCTGTCAGTAGTTTGCAAAAAATTCCTTAGCACAATTTTAGTCCACTGACATTACGGAAAAAAACTGTAATGCTGCCCTATATGTTAACAAACAAACTAAAATAACATAGGTCCATCTTGAAAAAGGATGAGGAGATCCATAGAAGTTCCACAGCAGAAGTGAAATGAAGAACAGTGTAAAACAGTTCTTACAGCGATCATAACAACTTCTCTTGGTATAAGAAGTCATTACAGTTTCGAGCTTATGCCCTCCTACTGCAAAGCCAGGGAAAAGTGTCCTTGCCCTCGCTATGGAAGTAGGACAGATGACGAATTTAACAGCTTTTTTTAAGTTTGTACCTATCATGCTGAAATGGTTATAATTAGGGAAAAGAAGATTGGCTGACAGTTGTTGGAGGCTCTTCCAGGTATCTATAGGTTAAATAAGTCTTCAGGTGATGAGTTAATCAGTACAGATGAAGTGAGGTAAGGAAAGTTGCTTTATAAATGTATTTATTACAAAACTATGACCTGAAATTTATTTCTCCAAGACCGGGTAGTGGAAAAGTGTGCAGAAGTTGATGGATAGTACAGCTCATCCCTGCCTGTTCCTCCTGAGGAAGGAAATAGCTTAGGTAGCTCACTTTTTCCTTCCACTTTTGTTTAGTTTGGATTGAACTTCAGGGTCACAAATAACTAGATTTTTGAGTTTGAAATTTTTTTTGGAACTGTAGTAATTATGGACAAAAATTTCTGTAAAAACTAGCAGACCAGCTTTTGCTATTTTTTACTGACAACAACTAAGATGTATCACTTCATTTGAGTTGAGGAGCTGCCATATTTTTCAAAATTTAGCTTTCCAGCATTTGTTTAATGTATAGTATCATACCAGATTAGGTTAAGCTTTTCCACATTTTACTTGGAAAAAGCTTAAATGTTGTATTAGCTTTCAAAAGATTTTCAGTATTTTTTTACTCATTCTAGAATGGTATGGTATCCTTTACGAGTATTGAGATGAGCTGTGCAAAAATGACTTTTTAGGAAAGCTTTAACTTTTCTTTTTTTAAGGCAAGACTAACTATGTTTGTAACTGTCTTACAGGTGGTGCTTCTCTGGATCTTAAAGCTTGCCCTCCTAAACCATCAAAATGGATTCTGGATATGACTTGGCTAAACTTAGTGGAACTCAGCAAGCTTAAACAGTTCTCTGGCATTCTTGATCAAGTAAGTAACAATTTCTATAAAAGTTATATGATGATTGCAACACACCCTGGGGTTCACATACCTTCAGGGATGTCCTTCACCCCCAAACCCCTCTCTGCCATCTGCTGCTTGATGACTGGGGACATGATGAAATGTGCCAGGGGTCATTTCCTTGGCCCAGGGCATCTCAGTTTCACCTGTCTCTCTCAGGTCTTGACAGCTGTTATCAGGCGACACTTTGCCAGCTAAAGAACTATATCCTTTTGTCTGGCTATGCTAGAAATTACAGGCCCCCTCCTGTGCAGGAGAGACCCACCTGCATGATCTAAAGCTCTTAAATTGCACTTACAATTGACAATAAGTAAGTTATAAGAAATATTTTAAATGTTTATTACATAAACAAGAGAATTAATTAAAAAGTTAGTAACCATTTGTTGAGATGCACAAATGGAGATATAAAAATAGAAAAACAAAAGAATATATGAATAAAATTTAATTTTACCCCTGCAATTTTTATCCCTCAAAATTCAGCTTGCTCTGACCCTCTGTCAGTTGACAGCTTGGCTTCCAGGAATGCAGTTGCAAATTTTCCAGCTGGGGGACGAAGCTATCAAAAGCTTCATGGATTTTCATACATTTGCCTCTCAAGGCATATCTTAAGTACTCAGTACTTAACTATTTACATTTTTTCCTTGAATTCTCAAGAAATGTGTTAATACTGTAATAAGCATATACCTTCCCATTATATGCTTCCTGTACCTTGGATCACATCTACAAGGGCCTGTTTGGATGCAAATTCTCAGTGATTACTCCTCTAGGCTTTGATGCTTGTAGGTGCAAACCTTAGTCTTGTGAGTAATACCTGACCATGTTATATAAAGTATTCTAATTCACACAAACATAAACATGATAAGGTTAAACACAGCTTAATATTAATTATCCATAGAGACGACACACCAGATAGATAAGTAGGTGAGTAGAGACTTGAGCACAGTTTGGGAGGAAGTCAGCAGCCCTCACTGGTGAAAGAACAGGTTAGGGAAAACTTGGATGTGCATCGAGGCCGGATTCCATGCATCTGAGGATGCTGAGGGAGTTGAATGATGTGACTGCAGAGCTGATGGCCATTATCTTTGAAAACTCATGGTAATCGGGGGAGGTCCCGAATGATTGGAAAGGGGAAATATAGTGCCCTTCTTTAAGAAAGACAATAAGGAGGATCCAGGGAACTACAGGCCAGTCAGCCTCACCTCAATCTCCAGAAAAATCATGGAGATGGTCCTCAAATAATCCATTTGTAAGCACTTGGACGAGAAAAAAAGTGATTAGGAACAGTCTGCATGGGTTCACCAAAGGCAAGTCATACCTGACCAATCTGATTGCCTTCTATGATAAGATACCTGGCTCTGTGGATGCAGGGAAAGAAGTGCACATAATACACCCTGTCTTTAGCAAGGTTTTTGATACCATCTCCTACAGCATTCTTGCAAGCAAGCTCAGGAAATATGGGTTGGATTAATAGACTGTAAGGTGGATGTAAACTGGGGGATTGTTGGGGTCAATAGGTAGTAATCTAAGGCTCAATGTCTAGCTAGGAGCTGGTATCAGGTGGAGTGCCCCAAGGGTCTGTCCTGGGGCTGGTTTGGTTCCATATCTTCATTAACAATCTGGAACATAGGATGGATTACATCCTTAGCAAGTTTGCAGATGACCCCAAGCTGGAGAATGTAGTAGATACACTGGAGGGTAGGGCTAGTATTCAGAGTGACCTAGACAGATGGGAGGATTGGGCCAAAAGGATTCTTGCACTTGGGACAGAACAATCCCATGCACCAGTACAGGCTGGGGGCTGATTGGCTGGGCAGCAGCTCTACAGAAAAGGACCTGGGGATTACTAGTAACCTGAATATGAGCCAATGGTGTGCCCTTGTTGCCAAGAAGGCTAACAACATACTGGGTCGTATTAGTAGAAGTGTTGCCAGCAGATTGAGGCAAGTAATTATTCCCCTCTATTCAGCACCAGTGAGGCCACACTTAGAGTACTGCATCCACTTTTGGGCCCCCCCGCTACAGAAAGGATGTGGACAAATTGGAGAGAGTCCAGCAGAGGGTAGCGAAAAGGATTAGCAGGCTGGGGCACATGACTTCTAATGAGAGACTGAGGGAACTGGGCTTATTTACCCTGGAGAAGAGAAGACTGAGGGGGGATTTAATAGCAGCCTTCAACTACCTGAAGGGTGATTCCCAGGAGGATGGAGCAAGACTGTTCTCAATGGTGGCGGATGACAGAACAAGAAGCAATGGTGCCAAGTTGCAGCAAGGGAGGTTCAGGTTGGATATTAGGAACAAGTTTCTCACTAGGAGGGTGGTAAAACCCTGGAACAAGTTACCTAGAGAGATGGTGGAATCTCTATCCTCAGAGGCTTTTGAGACCAGGTTTGACAAAGCCCTGGCTGGAATGATCTGGTTGGGGGTGGTCCTGGTTTGAGCAGGGGATTGGACTAGATGACCTCCTAAGGTCCCTTCCAACCCTAATTTTGTATGATTTTATGATTATATACCATTATAGCAGCAAACCCAATTTAGGAAACTATTTATGCATGATACTCCATGAACACCCCAAATTATTGCTAATTTTGGAGTGAGTTTATGGCAAGGATTATGAATATATATGCCTTTTAACAATGGATATTTTTGGGAGTAGTTTGGTTTTATAGTGGATCATTTTTTGGGGGGGGACCTTGTATAAATGTTTTTTCTCTAAATCTGAAAGCTTAGTTTTTTGTTTTTTGTTTCCTTCTTATAGTTTCAGTAACCCTGTACAAACGAAGTGAAGGTTGTGACCTAGATTTCATGTGTTGAAGTATGACTTTATTTACACGGAGAGATGTGCTTTTCTGCCCTTATGCCTACAGATTTCAAGAACTGAAAAACAATGGAAAATTTGGTTTGATAAGGAGCATCCTGAGGAAGAACTTGTTCCTAGTGGCTATGATCAGTCTCTAGATTGTTTCAGGCATCTTCTCCTTATTAGGTCCTGGTGTCCTGATAGAACCATAGCTCAGGTATGTTAACCTCTTAGCATGATGCTGTACATGGATAGATTGCAATAATTTTCCATATAAGCTATATAACAGTTGAATTTGGAATCTTCTTATGGAATATGCCATATTCTTATAGGTAAATTCTACTCGAAAATAATACTAAGATTATTTTATAATAATCTTTATTTCGTAAATGGTAATTAAAATGTTTTCTGAGTGCTTTACACATGCATGTTAATTAATTCCCCCATCACAAAGGTGTCTGAATGTGTTTATCCTATCTTGCAGATAGAGGAACTAATTCTCTGATAGTCAGAACTCAAATTGAGGGTTGGAGGGCTTAACTCTCCATATCCTCCTGTGGGTGTAGAAGAAATGTTCTTACTGGCCTAGGTAATATTAATGAGAGAATTGCTTGTAATTTTATAGCTAACTTAAAGTTCGGTTTAAGTATATCTCTTGATAGCCATAAACATATCACCCTAGAAAGTTGAACTAGAAAAAGCAAATGAAAATTAAACTGTAGAAACGATTTGATTAAATATCCAGTTCTTGTACAACAAAGTTATTAGGATTAAACGCACCATAAGAAAGTTTACAGCAGTGCTAATTTTTTTTTCTCTTCAGTTTTTTGCTGTATAAAAAGGGCAACAGTATCAAGCTGGACCTGGGCAAATAATGAAAAAGCTACAATATTAATTGTGGTCATGTGTTCATGACTTTTTTAGAAGCCACTATTTCTGTAATTCTTTCATTACTGTGGGGAAGTGGAATCGATCTCTATCTGTCAAGAAAGTTATTTGTGATAGCAAGCAAATTGCCTAAGCCAAACGTTATGCACTGTATGTGCAAAAGATTCAGATTCAGAATTGAATGTTTGGGATCATAACATTCTATTACATATGTGATTTTGGGTCACTAGTTAATCCTTATGGGTGTATCCCTACATGCAGGAGCATGTACTTGCAGGTGCAAGAACAGTAGCAGCACAAATTTGTGCTGCTACTTTTTGTCTCAGCACATGGCCCTGCACATGTGCTTTGGTGTGGGGCAAATTGCCTTGCTTCAGGCAAACTGCCCTTTCCCTGCTCCTCGTGGCTCCTGGCAGGCTAGGGGGTGTGTCCAGAAAAGTGTGCACGTGTGGTTTGTGGTGCCACTAACTGCATGCATTGACCATATTGCTAATTTGCAGCATGGTGGTTTTTTGACACTGTGGTTTTTCAGTGTCAAAAAAACCCAACCTGAGCCAGAAAAAGGTGTGGGGGTACACAATGTGCCAGTGTATACTGCCTGAAACTAAAACTTGGTTGGCCAGAACCATGCTCCGACTGCCAACCAGGCTCTGTGTGCCCAGATCACCACTGCTGCAGCCCTGGAAGGTCCCCAGAATGCCAGGTAAGGCTAAGATAACCTAAAAGCCGGGGATTGTTACCATCAGTGATGTCTTCAGAAAATCCTCCATATCAACTGGAAGGATAGAAGAACAAATGTTAGTGTTTTGGCTCAAGCAAATACCACTAGCATCAAAGCCATGGTCATAGTGCACCAACTCTATTGGACAGGACATGTCATAAGCAGGAATCCTGGTTTTCCCTGATAAAAAAAAAAATCACAAATTCTATGACTTAACCTCAAATCTGTGATTAAAATGAAAGGCCAATATATACATAGGTATCAGTTGAATACAATGTTGTATTGTTTTATTGATATATTTACACTCCTGCTCCCGTCAGCCCCATGCAGGCTGGAACTCCTCCAACCTGCAGAGAGCTCTTTGAAAAAGTGCCAAATCCATGTATTTCTCTGTTAAAATGAAAAACCTGTTTTTTGGTTTGTTTTTTTTTTTTCCTCCAGTAAACGGGGAAATCTGCATTTTTCCGTTTTCTGTGGGAAATGGAAAACCTAGATCCCTGGTCATAAGGATGCATGACAATTGGCTTCCAAAACAGGCCTTATATTCCCAATTTGCTGACACAGTTTCCCAATCCTCATGCCTCATAGTTTATCAATAATCAAATTTGTTTGTAGCGCTTTAGCACATTACTGTCACAATCCCATTATTATTACATGCTCATCTTATTCAGAAATGTTTTTCATTCATACTGATTATGCCTTATCTTGGTCACCATTTTAAATTCCATTTTTTAATATCTCCAACATATATTACCCACAACCTACACATCTTTTCACATCTTTCACAGAGTTGTTTTATTGGAGAGCATGTGTCTTTCCATACTCGTTGCATTCATAATGATTATTCTATGATGTTTCTATTAACTTATTCCATCATTCCATCTATTTCAACCTTCTATATTTTATGTTCTGAATTTCACATTATATTCAATTCCATTATCCATTACATTTCTATTAACCCTATAGTATTTCATTTCAGGTCTTAAACAAGTAGTTTTAGTTCAATCTGAAACAACAAAATGAAAGTTCTATTAGTAAAGCATCTATAAGACCTTGCCTACTTTGGCTACAAAATTGGATAAGGTCCTTTGACTGTATTGCTTGCATTGTGGTTGGTACATTTTTTTTCCCTGCCTTCTGGGGGTCCTTTCCTTTTCCATCACTATATTCTTTGTTCAGCTGATTTTCATTATCTTCTATCTTAAAAACAGATGTGGGAATTTAGCATGCTTTCCAAGTATTTTCTTCAGTCTTTTAGAAAGTCAATGAAATAGCTTTCCTTAATTGAGCACTACCATCCTATGCTCTCAGCAATGTAGGAGTCCCGTAGGACTTGCATTAACTTTTTGCCTGCACTGGCTCAACTGACTCTTGTCAAGAATGAAGACTATCATGCATGCTTCAGATTGGGGCCTGGGATAGAGAGAAGTGTAAAAAAGGTGGGTGCTACCAGGGGGTCTTCACTGCTATAATTCTGGGTCCAGAGCATGGGAAGTGAAAGCATGTGGGTGAGGATCAGTTATTAGTGGCAGCCTCTTACAAGTGGCATACAGGGCATGCCATAGTTGGCTAGGTGACTGTAATTTAAGCATGATAACATGTCTTTCTTGAGCAGTGGCAAATGAGCCTTTTCAGAGTTCTCTACTGCTGCGGCTAGAGAGCTACTAGTATGCACTTTAATAAGTTTAAAGCAGGCTTGTTAACTAGCAATGTGTTTAACTTAATTGGTTTGTGGACATGTTTGACATATAAGGAGAAGGGCCATGAAGGGTTAGGGAGAAAAAAAAGACTATGCAGTGCACATTGTATATGCTTCTTATAGTTAAAAAAGAATCACAAATTTTCCCCTTTAGCCTCAGACCATTACTTCCTAGATGTATTATTTTATAGTTAAGGTAGAGGTAGGTTTGGAAGAGAAGGTTGTAACCTCCTAGATCTGTTCAAGAAGAACACTGCATGAATGAGGGAGAACATGAAGGAAAGCGCAGAAGTGTTTGTGTGTTTGGTGGGAAGTTTGGAAGTGGATTTAGGGGACAAATAGGATGAGGTTACCTCGATCTTTGGAGCAAGGTGGGGGGGTCAAGTCAAAGCTGACTGCTATCCTTATTGATTCATGGGATATGACAGAACTGGCAAGAGAACAAATTTGTTATGTGTGGGGCACCTGGAGTGTATTCAGTTTGGACTGTCAAACCCTAATTGATTAAAGATATCCAGAAGGCTGTATCAGATATCATGGAATAGAGGGAATCCATGAATCTGCAGAGAAGATCAAAAACAAGGAGAGAGGACTGTTGTAAGGGAAGGTTAGATGGGCAATGTTAAAAAATTAATTAGTCTGAAAGGCAACCTAGAAAGTTGATTTCTCCCACAGGGACGGAAATAAAACATGAATGATTTTCGATATCCTTTTGAATAAATAGCTATATAATAGGGCTGTGCGAAATTTCACTGGTTGTTTTGTTTTGACACTGTTTCGACTCACTTTGAGCTCAAAACAGAGAAATTAAAATGAAATGAAGGGCTTTGAAACAGCCTCAAAATGAAACAAGGGCAGTTGAAATGTTTCGAAATGTTCAAAACGTTTCAAGTTTAAAAGCAGTCCAGCACTCCCCAGCACTATGATCGAGCTGGGCTGAGCCCAATCCTAGCACTGGGGAGGGCACTCAGAACATCAAAATAGCATCAAAACAGCTAAACTGTTTTGACAAATTGGAATGGAACAGTGTTTTCAAATCAAAACAAATCTCAAAACAAAACGCTGTTCCGTTGAAACGGATGTCAAAGCGGAATGTTGCTGTTTCACACAACCCTACTATATAATTCCTTAAGAAAGTGACAACTGGGTACTGCTACTATAGATAAAGTGTAATGTAGCAAATCTGTGTAACAAATCAGATACGTGAAGCTAAACAGGAATCTTTTACTGACTGTCAGAGAGAAAAAAGCAAGGTATGTGTGAAGCTGATTGACTGAAATCCCCCCGTGAAATCCCTTTCCAAGTTAAAAAAGGTTATCATTGAAAATTACCTTGGGTAATTTAAATTTGTTCCTACTTAATCTTTCTTCTTGCCATTGTTGATGAATAATCTTGAATACTAAGGTCTCTGAGAAGTAGCTCATTCCTTTTAACTTTATACATCTGTGGAAGCCATCTTAGCTTCATTAACTCAGTTACTAAAGGAGGTTTAGAACAGATTTCCTCAGGCTCCAAGAAAAATCTTGGATATATTTTGGATGATGACATGTTCATTTATAAATATGTCATAATGTTAGAAAGAGCTCTGTTGTTCATCCCACTTTAGTCTGCAACACCAATATATATTTGCTTTTAGTTGATTAAATGTATATCATTACACTAAGAGTTTGCTTCACAAGTTATGTATGCATTCATAGTCATAGCTTGTAGAGCACAACATGCAATGTTAATATCACAGATTGAATTTCGCTATTTTTAATATAGGCCAGAAAGTATATAATTGATGCTATGGGTGAGAAATATGCAGAAGGTGTCATTCTGGACTTGGAGAAGACTTGGGAAGAATCTGATCCACAAACACCTCTCATCTGCTTTCTTTCTATGGGATCTGATCCTACTGACTCAATCATTGCTTTGGGGAAAAGATTGAAGACAGAGACACGTTGTGTTTCAATGGGCCAAGGGCAAGAGGTCCATGCACGCAAACTGCTTCAGCAGATGATGGCACATGTGAGGCAATATTTGAATTGTTTGTGGTTCTTCAGTACAGAGTTGAATAAAAGATCAAAATGTGTTAGAACCTTGGTTAGGAATAAGGCTTACTTTCAGGTAATTGATGCATAGAGGGATCTGTATTTTACACAAAATTCAAAACAATGACCTGTGTCCTCACAAAGATTGATTTTTAAGGGCAAAAAAGCTATAAAATACCCAAACCAAAGTCCTTCAGTAAATGATTATTGCTTCAAAAATAGTTCCACTAAGAATTTATTTCATTAATATGACACAACTAGATTATCTGACTACAGTTAATACAGATTATTAGTAGAAAGACATTCCATATGAATGATTACTAATTCATTTGCCCATTTGATACAAACCTAGATACAATTTGTTAAATGGAGGATAAATTCCACATTTAATTTTATTGAGAGCTTTTTGTGTCGTGCTGCTGTTCATAAATTGCAACAATACAAAATCCTACAATCTAAATGCATAATCAGGAAATTCTGTAATCCACTTGGGAGGAAGGAGAATGGGGTGTTAAGCAAGACATTGAAGTGTACACATGGAATAGGACTAATGCATTTCATAGGGGAAAATTACTGAACCAATTCTATGATAAAATGAAGTTGCCAATTTGTTGTGAAGTGATTATTGCTAGGGCTGTGTAAGGCTTCAGACAGAGCTCCAGATCCAGAGAAGCTTCGGATGCTTCAGCATCCGAAGCAGCATGTCTGGATTGAAGCGCTGGCTTCATTAGGCTTTCTGAAGTGGTTCAGAGCTTTTGAAGTGCTTCAGAAAAGCTTTCAAGATCTGGCCATAGGGTATAATGGGGAAACAATAAAATATCTATAACTTTGTTGTTCTTTGTCTGATTTGGATGAAATTTACAGGAATTGTAGTCTCTGCTGAGAGTATGAAGCCTGCCAAGTTTCAAGAAGATTGGTGCAGGGGATCAGGGGAAACTGCACCCCAAATTCTTGAAAGCAAAACTCGTGTCACATCTTTGTTACACCACAGGGGGGTCAAAACTGCAGGGGTTGTGGCTCTTGGTGAAGCCACAAAGCCTGCCAAGTTTCAAGAAGATCGGTGTAGGGGTTTGGGGGAGCTGCACCTCAAGCTGTGGACAAGCAAAACTCATGACATGGGTGACACTGTGTGTTAAGGCGCAGTAGGATGAAAGCTGCATGGATGGTAGCCCCTCATGTGGCCACAAAGCCTGCCAGCTGTCAAGGAGATAGGTGCAGGGGCCCTGCACCTCTAGCTGCTGACAGACCAAACTCATGCCATGGGTCAGACAAACAACAACAAAGTTATAGATATTTCATTGATTCCCCATTATACCCTATGGCCGGATCTCTAAGGTGGCTCCAAAGCTTCGGAGCTGCTTCAGCTGGATCGAAGCAGAAAACCGGTCCAGAGCTCCAGATCAGATCCCTGGCATCCAAAACAGTCAGATCTGAAGCTGGATTAGATCGCTGTCAACCCACACAGGCCTAATTATTGCATCCATGGTGATGTAATCTACTAAGAAAGATGGTACAGAGAAAGAAAACTAAAGAAATCTTTGTCCTCATCCCTAAAGGCAACCAAGTCTGTAAAAAAAAAACAAAAAAAAAACAAAAAAACCCCCCAAAAAACAAAAAAACAAAAAAAAACCCCACACACACCTTCTACTCCTCAAAACTGTACCTCACACATACATCTCCTTGTGAGTAAGACTGTTGCCTTTCCGGACTTGGGATGGGGAATTTGTTGGCAGGGTCTTGCTTTCCTGAAAAAAGGGAGAAAGGGAAAAGCCAGAGAACAAACATTTTTATAGAACAGAAGAGAATGGTGGGGGAGAATTGCACATCATTTTCCCATATCCTTCCATCTAATGCTGTGAAGTGGTTGAGCCCTAAGGATTCTTTAACTAGGTGCCAGTTAGCTAACCAGAGGTGTAGCAAGCTATTCAGTACCCAGGGCTGAGGACAAGTAGTGGTGTGCTGACCAGTGTAGAAAGACTGCAGAGAGAGAGAAGTCTTATCTGCCCAGACTCTCTACCCAGGGAAGGCTACTGCTATTGTTGTAACCCATGCTGCTATAGTAGCAGCAATAGCAGCTGTGGAGAGAGAGAGTGAGTCTTGTGGCAGTGGCCCTATGCGTGTGGGAAAAACTCTCTTGGGTGTAGGGCGGGGGGTGGAGAGAATCATTCCACTTGTACCCTACTGCCTAGATATACTGTGGGGGGTGCAGGACTAACCTGCACAGCTCCTATAGCTGGGTAGCACAGGGCTCCCTCTGATGTAGTAAAGACAGATGAATGGATTCTGGTGTCCCCCCATAGTCAACACCTGTGGCTGGTGTCCTACTTGCCCCCTTCTGCCCCCTCCCAGTTATGTTGCTGTACCTAACTGTTCTCCACTTAGCTTCTAATGAATTCCTATTTACCTGAGATTTAACAGACAGAACAAGAAGAATAAGAAGTCCTGCAATTTGAATAAGGGAAATATTTACTTTATCACTAGAAAAAAGGGATCTGTAATTCAACATAGTGCACTGTTTAACCCTTTCTTGACATCAGCAACTTGCTGCTGTTATCACATTACATGGTTTGGCTACTGATCTGCTAGTATCTTAGTAACCTTGATATGTGAGCTGGTGTCAAGGCAGAGGTTTCCTATGATGTCTCCAGTTCAGTAGCTTTATGTTGAATTGCACATTTCTGAGCTCAGTTGGCTAGCATATCTGGCCTCTGGGTCTGTAAGGAATACTTCTGTACAGAAAAAGAATGGTTGCTTTTACCAGTTGAGAACAGCAGGGTTATGGAACTGCTTGTCTGGGCCAAGCAAAGTCCATGGTCCCACAAAATGGACGACAAAAGCTGTATAATAGACACATATTCAGAGACCAGGTTTGTTGGCCTAAGTAGCCTGTTTTACTGAGAAGAGTGTATATGTAAAAAACAAAACAATAACAAACAAAAAAACCCATGAAAGGTTCATCTCACCCATCAGTTGATCTCAGCTTTTTTTTGAAAATAGGAAATGTTTTTGCAGTTGCATATATGCTGTTCTGTTAACTGGTTGCCAGTGTTTGAGCTTTACATGGTAAAAGAAATTGCTCAAGAACATGTGGCTTAAATGGGTCACTGTTTTGTGCAGAATTGCAATGCTGAGAAACAATATGCTGATCAAACTTCTCTGCCCGCTTCACTACTCATAGTCAGTTGAGTACAATTGACTATGTTATAGTTAAGTATTTGCTATAGGAAAAGTGTTTTCACTTGGCAAATAAAGTTAAACTAGATATAAATGCAAATCGTAACATGTAATCTGTTGTACTAGGGAGGATGGGCACTACTGCAAAACTGTCACCTGGGACTTGACTTTTTGGATGAGTTGATGGATACTATTATTGAAACAGAGACTGTCCACGAGGGCTTCCGTTTGTGGATGACCACTGAGGTTCATAAGCAGTTCCCCATTACCCTTCTTCAGATGTCCATTAAATTCACCAATGAACCTCCTCAGGGGCTCAAAGCTGGGCTGAAGAGAACCTATGGTGGTAGGTGAAAGGAACTGACAGGCAGCACAATTATAATGTGTAACAATAAACAGTCAAGCATGTGTTTTCTTCCACACTTGTCTCTGGTACCACTTCTCTGTCTTGTAGTTGTTTTCAGTTTAAGAAAGAAATTTTATGCTGCCTTCAGTAATCATCCTCTGAAGCTGATAACAGGAGTTTTTGTAAATGCATCACTGCATTTGCAAATGATGGTAAAATTGAGAGAATAATTGGGCAACATAGCCACAACAGACATCCAAGATTATTAGATATAAAAACAATAGTTTTTCATATTTTAACTTCTAATGTCTTTGTTAAAAAAATTGTTTCATATAATAATGTAATGTTCTTCCATGTTTCTAAAGACAAAAGGAAGATCACCTGATTTTTTTTATTACATTTTCCCTGACCCCCCCCCCCAAAAAAAAACAACAAACAAACCACAAACCAAAACAAAACAAGAAGAGGCAGTTCAGCACGAAGGATTTCATATGATAACATAAGATGCACTGTAACAAATGCTATAAAATAAACCTGCTTTGTTTCTGGATTGCAATTAACTTGTGTTGCATATAAGCAGACAGTATACTACTCCTGTATTGGGATACTATGCGATGTAGTTAGAATCGAAGTAACAGCAGGAGAGTCATTTTGGTAACGAGTCTTGTTCTTACTTAAAAAGGCTGTTCACCAATACCTTATGGTGTCTGTCTATATGAACAGGTGTAAGTCAGGACCTCCTGGATGTCAGTAACATGGTGCAGTGGAAACCCATGTTGTATGCTGTTGGTTTCCTACACTCCACTGTTCAAGAAAGGCGCAAATTTGGACCTCTAGGTTGGAACATCCCCTATGAGTTCAATCAAGCTGACTTCAATGCCACTGTGCAGTTTATCCAGAACCATTTAGATGATATGGACATAAAGAAGGTATGTGGCATCATTTCAATGGCAGTTAGCATAGAATGGTTGGTACTTTGGTTACTTAAGATTGCATGGATCATCCCAAACAACTGAAATGCTAAAAAGAATTATTCACAGTTTTTCTATAAAGTTGTCCTAATCTGTGTTGAGCATTCCCCTGAATGAGAAAAGACAAAAATCATTTAGTCCAGCAGAGACAGCTCTGTGTCAAACTTAACTTCAACCTCCACCTTGAGTGACATTAGGGATAGGCCCTGCAGAGTTCCTCAATTGCCGGATTAGTTCTTGCGTGAGGTTTAGGCTGGTCTCAGGATCAGGGAAACATGAAGGCAGCATAGAGTCATTTTTGCTTGGTACAACAGTTGAAATGGAAAAAGGAGGACAGGTAAATATTATTGGTTATCTAAAGACATGCCTGCAGATGTTGATAGACGTCTGTGTCAAACTAGAAGAAGATTAGTCTGCTAACTGAAACCCTTGATTTTTAGGGCGTCTCCTGGAACACTGTCCGCTACATGATAGGGGAGATCCAGTATGGAGGCAGAGTGACAGATGATTATGATAAAAGATTGCTCAACACACTTGCTAAAGTCTGGTTCAGTGAAAACATGTTCAGCCAAGACTTCTGCTTTTACAAAGGGTATAGTATACCCAAATGTACTACCGTTGATCAGTACCTTCAATACATACAGGTTGGTAAATTACTAGATTCTTGCCAAATAAAATATTAATTTACCCAAGGACTTTTCACTTTTAAGCATCCTTCTTTCATTACAATCATTTATACAGGATAGCCTTTTCCCTCCATAATTGCCTGAATATCTGTTAGTGGCAATGTGAAAATGCTGCAGATATGACAGCTCTAACCTCTTCTTTTCTTGCTGTTTCCTTGAAAGATGCATCTTCTAGGGCAGTGGAGGTCAAACTCTTTGGCAGGCATGCCATAAAAAAGCACCATACCCACCCTGGGTGGGACTCCAAGGTGCTTCCCTTGCTTGATCTTCTGTTATGCTTTCTGCTCCCTGGCCTATCTGTCATTGTGCTGCCTTTCACCTCCTCAATTTTCTGCATCCCACACTCAGAGGCTGCACGTGCCACTTATGGCGCACGTGCTGCAGGTTGGTGGTCCTTGTTCTAGAATGACCATTATCAAACAAATACACCCTGCCTCTCAGAATGTGAAATGAGATGAAAGTGGAAAGAAACATTGTTTCATTTATGTTCTCAGTGGTTGGAGTCAGGGTTTGTACTGTAGTGCTAGATTTTATATAGCTTTGGCTTCTCTTCTTTGAGGATGGTTGACTTTCTGAGGTTGACATGGTAAAACAGCCTCTTCAAACTTTCATACAAGAGTAACAACTTCTAGTCTTCAAGCCTTTTTTATGTGATGTTTGTGTCAATTATCTCTCATTTACAATTCTTCATCTTTGACTACATAGAGCCTCCCTGCTTATGATACTCCAGAGGTGTTTGGTCTGCATCCCAATGCTGATATCACTTACCAAAGCAAGCTCGCCAAGGATGTATTGGACACTATCCTCAGTATTCAGCCAAAAGACAGCTCTAGTAACGGAGGAGGTGAAACCAGGGAGGCAGTGGTGGCAAGACTGGCTGATGATATGCTGATGAAGCTTCCTGGTGATTATGCACCATTTGAAGTGAGTTAACAAAACCTGTAAAAAAACAAGACCAAAAAACTAAAAAAAAAGCTACATCTGTTCCATCTTGCCTTATGTGCGCATGAAAAAGCAAACAAAACCGTATATAATGGTATTAATCTTTCTAAAAGCTTTAGTGAATACTTTTATGCTGACAGATGCCTTAAAACATATAGTGAAGAAGCCTGACTGGGATGTTAATATTCCTAATAAAGTTGCTAAGTGTGTACTGATGAGTTATAATTGCTTTTCTAAACTATTAAATCTCTACTTTTAAAGTTGTCATTTTCACTAAGAGAGGTCATCAGTTTTTCAGCCAAGTTGGATAACATTGTGAAAGAATAGTTGTGCTGTATTACAAATAAACCTAAATATTTAAGATCTTCCTTAATTCAAGTTTCAGTTTAGATTCTTTGAGACTTAAGTAGTTTATTTCCCTAAGCTCCAAATGTTCTTTCACTGTGGACTGACTGACTGACTGACTGACTGTGTAAGTATAGGTGATGAAATGTTGAATCTCTTTTTGGTGGTTCATATCTAGTAAAACAAAACTGCCTCTAAAACGAGGCTTAATTGCCTATTTGGATGACCATTGTGATGTGAACATGTGATGTGATGTGATGTGATGTGATGTGATGTGATGTGGGCATGTCTCCACATCACATTAACAACCATCCAGTGTAATATCAGTTACTTTCCTCTTTTTGGTGTTCTAACAAGATGTGGTGATAGAAGAGGAGGAATGGAGATTAGATTTTACTATTGGAGGTTATTTCTCTATGATGGGGTTGATGGTTGTTGGAAGGGACAGGCTGAACTACTACTGCTGTTTTAATTTATACTCTGTGATGGAGAAGAGCTAAGCATGTATTTTAGAATAGATGGTTTCCTTCACTTGAAGCATAGTTTTCACAAATGGGTCCTTGATGTTTCTTTTACATGATGTTGTGTGAAGGCTCTATAATTCTTATGGCTCTCTCATAGTTTGCTTCTTACAGAAATAATGCTGATTGTAAATATAAAAAAGAGAGAAGCATATAAAACAGTGTGGCTGAGGAACACCCATGTGCCTGAAGAACAACCCCATATTAGGGGTTATTCTCGTCCCACTATGTACAATGCAGTATCACTTCTCAAGTTGCCTGAAACTATGAGGACAAAAACTTCAATACGACTAACTCCCCATCCTTATTTCCTGATGATAATTCTGCAACAGCCTGTGTATTGCTATGATCTTAGCTTCCTCGAAGTCTTGCAGAAAGACTGAGATTTATCCTTGCCTCAAAAAGACACAGGAGGCTAGAGAGGAAAAGTTTCAGGGTTCCACAGTGGCATGTGTTTTGGGCCTTATCTCCAGAACTAGACATTTTATAAGTCTGTCTATAGTCATCAGAAGAAAGAAATAAAAGTAAAGATTGGCAACTGGAAACTTTAACATTGTCACACTGTCACTTGTCTAGCAGTCAAGTTGGACCAGCCCCTTACCTACCACCAGCATTTGGAAGGGATCCACAGTAAGGTTAAAGCAGAGGAACTCTTATTTGTCACCTTGCTGGTACCACCTGGGATTCAAGTTTCCAAGCACTTCACATCTCCGCTTTGGCACTTGTGTCTGTTCCTGCGGAATTGGCTGAATACTGTGTATCAGTATGGGGCTGGAGCATGCACACTAAGTTAGTAGATTCCAGGCTTAACAGTGTCATGAAGACCGTCACTGGATGCCTTATGCCAATGCCGGATTATGACATGCTGAGGCCCTAAGCTATTTCCATTTTAAGAGGCCCCATATGATAAAAATAATCCACAAAATCCACAAAAATGAATTTTCATGACATTTTAACATGAATTATTGTTATTTCTGCACAAATTTATGAACTCAACGTGAATAACAATTGTGGAGCCATATATATGTATATTTTTGTCACATTAAAATGAAAATGTCCAGTTTTTTTTACTTATTTAGAGGCCCTAAACTGTAGCTTAGGTAGCTTGAGTTTAAATCCAGCACTGCCTTATGCCAGCTCCAGCTGACTGCTTACCAGTTCTCTCATGCATTCCCCTCCTGACATCCAGCGACCAGCTGCTACCCTGGCCCTAGGCATTAAAGCCCAAGATCTGGACCATTCTTTGCATGTCAGCCTGGTAGCCACAAGCCGGAAAACCAACCACTGCCCAAAGGAGGTAATCCCTACCCGGATCAAAGGGGGCAAGAGGGCGCAAAGGACCCCATGGCTATGGCTCACCAAAAGCATCCGGAAACATCTCCAAGCTAAAAAGGAGGCGTACACCCATTGGAAGGGAGGGGCCATCACCAGAGATGACTCTGTTGCTTGGGACTGTTGGGGGCTGGTCAGGAAGGCTAAGGCAGAGATGGAACTGGGACTAGCTACCCAGATCAAGGACAACAAGAAGTACTTTTTTAAATACATAGGGGGTAAAAAGAAGGTACCGGGTAGTGTGCAGCCTCTGCAGGACACGCTAGGAAATCTGGTTGTCACACCAGACAGCAAAGCTAACCTATTTAACAATTTCTTTGCCTCCATTTTTCTGAGTAGGGACCTGGTCAGCCCCACCACTGGGACCCCCGTAGGCCCCGTGGGGGGGGCCTAGGGTCAGCGAGGATCTAGTCAGGGAACTTCTGGAGGGACTGGATGTATTTAAATCAGCAGGTCCAGATGATCTCCACTCCAGAGTGCTGAGGGAACTAGCAGAGGTTATTGCGGGACCTCTGGCATGGCTTTACAAGCACTCATGGTGCTCTGGCGATGTGCCAGAGGACTGGAAAAGGGCCAATGTGGTTCCCATTTTCAAAAAAGAGAGGAAGGAGGACCCAGGAAACTATAGGCCCGTTAGTCTTACTTTGGTCCTGGGGAAGCTTTTTGAGAAAATTTATCCTGGCACATGTCCACGAGGGGCCCGCAGGGAAGACTATGCTTAGGGGCAACCAACATGGGTTCATTAGAGGCAGGTCCTGTCAGACCAACCTAGTGGCCTTCTATGACCAGGTCACCAAATCCCTGGATGCAGGTGTCACGGTGGATATAGTCTTTCTGGACTTCAGGAAGGCCTTCGACATGGTCTCTCACCCCATTCTCATTAAAAATCCAGGAGACTGTGGTGTCGATGCCTACACAGTCAGATGGGTCACTAACTGGCTGGAGGACTGAACCCAGAGAGTGGTGGTGGACTGGTCTTATTCGACCTGGAGGGATGTGGGAAGTGGGGTTCCGCAGGGCTTGATCCTCAGGCCCGCACTGTTCAACATCTTCATCAGTGACTTGGACAAATGGGTAAAATGTACCCTGTTCAAATTTTCAGATGACACTAAGATGTGGGGAGAAGTGGGCACTCTAGAAGGAAGGAACAGGATGCAATTGGATCTGGACAGGCTACAGGGGTGGACAGAAGAGAACAGGATAGGTTTCAACACTGACAAGTGCAGGGTACTGCATCTGAGGAGGAAGAACAAGCAGCAGACCTACACGCTGGGGAAGTCCCTTCTCATCAGTGCAGAGGCAGAGAAGGATCTTGGAGTCATTATTGATGCCAGTATGAATGTGGGCAGACAGTGTGGGGATGCGGTCAGGAAGGCCAACTGTACCTTATCATGCATCCACAGATGCATCTCAAGCAGGTCCAAGGAGGTAATCCTCCCCTTCTATGTGACTGGTTAGGCTGCAGTTGGAGTACTGCATCCAGTTCTGGCACTTCAGGAAGGATGTTGATAGCATAGAGAGGGTCCAGAGCAGGGCCATCCGCATAATCAGGGGTCAGCATGGCAGGCCCTACAAGGAGAGGCTAAGGGACCTGAACCTGTTCAGGCTGAACCTGTTCAGCCTCCACAAGAGAAGGCTGAGGGGGGATCTAGTGGCCATTTACAAACTAGTTGGGGGGGAGGGGGGAGGGACCAGTAGGCATTGGGGGAGTCCCTGTTCCCCTGAGCACTACCAGGAGTGACCAGGAATAACAGTCACAAGCTGGCAGAGGGTAGATTCAGGCTAAATATCAGGAGGCGCTACTTCACTGTCAGGGCGGCTAGGATCTGGAAACAACTTCCAAGAGAAGTGGTGCTGGCTTTCCCTCC